ATTTTTTATTTTTTTTGTAATCAATCAATCAATCAATCAAACAATCAAACAGCGGCAGCAGCAGCAGCAGCAGCAGCAGCAGCAGCAGCAGAAGAAGAAGAAGAAGAAGAAGAAGAAGAAGAAGAAGAAGAAGAAGAAGAAGAAAAAGCAATTACCTTGGAAATGTTTTTAGGACTTTGACTCCATATCAGTCACGAAAAAAAATGAAAAAAAAATATTCCTGCTTTTCTTTTATTTTTTTATTTTTTTTTTCTTTTTAACCGATTTTCGTTTTTCATTTTCTATAAATCCTAAACGAAGTCAAATTCAAAAAGCAAAAATGTGGGGTTGTAGGGTTTTCAAAACCCTACAACCCCCTTTCTTTTTTTTTTCCACTTATTTTTCGACCTGCAAGGAACCTGAGTCACTTGCTGGAGCGTCTCAGATTACATGCATGTCACAGCGATCACACAGTTTGCAAAGGCTCACACGTAGCACAATGGGAATGAGTGGAAACCAGGTAGTGCATCTCAATTATCACAACCATATTAACCAGATAGAATCGCGAGCTCAAAGGTAAGCTCATCAGCGCTTGCCAACAATCACCAAGTTCGGCGCTCAACAGGTACTAAGTATCACCATAGCTCTTTTCTCTCCCTTCACCCCCTTGTCTTTCTTCTCTCTCTCTGTGTCTACAGTCCTGGTCTGCTCACACCCTTCATGCATGCACACTCCTTATCACACGAGGATCTACTCTGAATGCTACTCACTGGTGTCTCCGACTGATTATCCCTGCTAATATACTAACTGGCGCTGGCGCAGCTATGGCTGCCTTCCTTCCAGCCAGTGCCCTTCTTCTCTCTCTCTCACACTTCGCGCTGGTCACAGCCCAGCGCAGCTCACACACATCGAGCGCACAAGTGCCACGACACTTCCACACTTCCATGCGAAATGAGCATCTGCTCTATGAGGAGGCTGGCCAGTCCTTTATAGCGCTGGACTGGCCTGGCGTGGCATGCGTTCAGCCTCAAGTGTCCTGGGACTCGCACTTTGCCCACTATCTGTTGTTGCAAAGTGTGTGTCCCAGTAACTTTTCCCATGGTCTGCTGCTGCTTTGGGCCATTGGGCCTGTCTTTTGGACTTCTGGTGTGAAAAAAAAGACTCTGAATCAGGACTGACCCGTGGGCCGTGGGACTGTGACTGGACGGGGACTCTGGCTTTTGACTTATAGCCGAACAGACACGACTTCTCGTCGAGCAGACATGACACTAACTCAGTCTCGAAATCTGTGTCCTAAACCTGTTCATCCAGGACCTGCTCGTGACTGTTCAAAACGGCTTTTCAGTTCATTACGGATGCGATATTTGCCTCAGGAACTTGTCTTTTGGAATATTGCTCGTGAAATTGAGTTTTAGGCCGAGAGGGCCCTTTTTATGCAGGGGTCACTTTTACGGGCCTGAATCGTAAAGGCCATTTTAGGCCCCGCAAAAAATATTCGAAATATCGGGCCGCAAACTAGGCCTGGCAGCCGCCGCTGCGGCCGACTTTTTCGGCCACGGTTGCCGAATTCGCCCGCCACCTTGCCCAAAAAGGCTGAGAGAGGTCACAATACAGAACAGACATAAGTGTTGTAAATCCTCAATGCTACAACCCTGACAAGTCTGGCAAACAGGAGTTGCCTTGGAAGTTCTTTTTTTTCTTTTGCACACCACAAAGCGGTTGGAACCGCCTGGTGAGCTCTTGCTGAATGGACCTTCAAAGTCCAACGCAAGGGATTTTCCGCAAAAGCTCTCAACTTGAAGTTGTTCCGCTCCTGCTGGTTTCATTCTCCGGGTCTGTTGGCCATTGCTGTTGCGGCGGATGGGCGGCCGGACATTTCTTTCTCTTCTTTCAATGGGCCTGGATCCATTACTCACCAAATGAGCAAAGAGAGAATAGGGGCCTCTTCACACCACTGTCCAAACCAAAAAAGAGAGAATGCCTATTCCAGCAGAGAAGGGCAAGATAGCAACCGGACGCATCTTACAGGTTTCTGCGGAAAGATGCATTCATTATCTTTTTTTTTTTCGTTTTTTTTCGACAGTGGTGTGACAACTCTGGCGAGGCCCTAGATCTTCCTCTAGAAAATGGCAAGACACCTCAAGCTGCCACCGAGGCCGTTTGCAAAAAAAAAAAAAAAAAAAAAAAAAAAAAAAAAAAAGAAACATAATAAAAGATGGTAAGATACACACTGCCATTTTTTTTCTG